GAAGCGAAGAGGTTTGCGATGTCGAGCATTGGGATTGTGTGGCCCTGGGCCATGAACGGGAAGAAGAAGACGTGGAGTTGCTTGCAGCCGTTGTTCTTCATCATTTGATCAGTTGAGTAATTTGCAGAGTGAAAGGTTAGAAATTTCTCGGGAGTTCAATGGATTCTGGTGTGCGAGCAATTTTTTATAGGGATTTTAGTTCGGGAATCTTGGAGGGGATGAATCAGCGAGCAGTCGTGTCGTGTGGAAGTTGTTTCCCTATCTGCTCCGTCGCGACTGTTGGCGGAATTTGGATTTTGGAGGGAACGCGTCGCGTTTGAATGTCGTCGCTAATGTCGTCACTTTTTTGCCACGAGTTGTTTCTTTGTCAAGTTATTTTTAGTTAATTTCGTCTATCTTAAGTCTTTTCTTATGCTTATTTCTTTTTGAATTTGACAAGTTGGTTTGTGAAGCATATCAAGAAGTGTACGAAGATTAAAGAGGTTATACAAGAAAGAAAGTAAAACCTATATCACTCCTATATATATAAAAAATAGAAGATTACAAACATATTCGAAAGAGTTATAAGAAAAAAGAAATGACGAGAGAGCACCAACTTCATAGATTTTTGGATCTTTTTTTGAAGCTTGATTTTAGTGTGAATCGCGAGTTGTTGGTTACAATAGAAAGAGACACTATAAATATTTTATATTGTAGTGCATGAACAAACTCCTAATTTAAAAAATATATGCAAACTTTAAATCCCATAAAACTCACCGTCGACACTATAAACAATAATGGGGGAGAGGATTTGGAAAAAATCCCAAGTTACACATGTTTTTAAAAAAAATTCTCAAAATACACACGTTATGAAAATAATTCCCAATCTACGTTAGTTTGGGCCATCACCGCTGTCGACGAAGACAGTGATTGCATCACCGCTGTCGACGAAGACAGTGATTGCATCACTGCAGTACACGGCCGCAGTGAAGGTCTGACCTGCGTCGAAACTTTAAACAAACGTAACTTTGTGCTCGGTTATCCGATCGTAACGAATTTTTTTTTGATTCCGCATAATTTTTCGAGATCTTGCAAGCCGCAAATTGCCGTAGGCGGTTTGGTCCCGCCTTCGTCTCGAAAATATGTCGTTTGCTACCCCGAACGAGCCTTTTTTTCGATTTCGTCAAACTTTGAATGACCATAACTTTGTGCTCCACAATCCGAAAATCATGAATTTTTTTTGATTTCGCATAACTTTTTAAGGACTACAATATTTAGTAGGAGAGAATTTTCAAAAAATGAATTATTTATGGATATAAGGGGTTTTGGGAATAACTTTACCTTCCTTTTCAGAAATCCAAGTACATTCCGAAAATATGTCTATGATAAAAATTGTAGTCCTTAAAAAGTTATGCGAAATAAAAAAAATTCATGATTTTCGGATTGTGGAGCACAAAGTTATGGTCGTTCAAAGTTTGACGAAATCGAGAAAAGGCTCGTTTGGGGTAGCAAACGACATATTTTCGAGACGAAGGCGGGACCAAACCGCCTACGGCAATTTGCAGCTTGCAAGATCTCGAAAAATTATGCGGAATCAAAAAAAATTTCGCTACGATCGGATAACCGAGCACAAAGTTACGTTTGTTTAAAGTTTCGACGCAGGTCAGGCCTTCACCGCGGCCGTGTACTGCAGTGATGCAATCACTGTCTTCGTCGACAGCGGTGATGCAATCACTGTCTTCGTCGACAGCGGTGATGCTATCACTGTCTTCGTCGACAACAGTGATGCAATCACTGTCTTCGTCGACAGCGGTGATGGCCCAAACTAACGTAGATTGGGAATTATTTTCATAACGTGTGTATTTTGAGAATTTTTTTTAAAAACATGTGTAACTTGGGATTTTTTCCAGAGGATTTGGGGATACAAAATTTGGCTGATTGCGAACTTGACAACCTAAGTGCTACGAAAGCAGATAATCAAACATCACCTGTAGCATATGAAGCAAGGTGGAAAATGCCGTTAACATTGTCAATCTAAAACATGTGTGAGAGCGAGAGACGAAAGAATAAGGATGTATGTGACATCATATCATCTAGGATGGGAGGGACAGATGAAGGAAGAGTGTAGTTAGTAGTGAGAGGGAGTGTACAGTGGATACTGCGCGCAATAGGGATGGCAATCAAATCACCAGTCGGGGGTATCCGATTGTCAACGCGAGAAATACCCGGATTGAATGTGTAAGTGGCGCGAGTATGGATAAAACTCGCAAACAGTTTGACGAGGACGCGGTGTGTTTGATTTTTAGCCTATCCGCTCAATAGCTATAACCGTCTCACCAAAAATTGTTTTTTCATATATTTAAAATAGATGAATCATACTGTGACCTCTCAACAATGGGAACGATAATTCCAAAAAAATTTGAAGAGTTTAAATATAAGTAAATGGCCAACCAAACCAAACACTAATTTCTTTTCCTCAATTTTTCGTTTAGGGATGGCAAAAATATCCGTAACCGTGGATATCCAGCCGAATCCGACCTAATCGGGTAGCGTAAAACCCGAACCCGAAGGAATTTTTGTGGGTACGGGTAAAACCCGAACCCAAATATTGCGGATAATGGGTGGGCATGGATTTCTCACTATCCAATCCGAACCCGCCCGATTATACACATGCATATGTATTTTGTATATAAATAATCATTATTTTTCTCTAACATATTTTATATTTAGCATATAAATATAATATTTTCATGAAATTGTGTCGTTTTGATTAATTTTCTTCATTCTAGTGAATTATGGTCGTACTTTTCCTCTAATGTAATGTGAGAATACGTGTGAATGTTAACATATTGGTTGGAGTTATAAAGAGAAATTAGTACCCATGGATAACCGTGGATACCCGAACAGGTATGGGCATGGTTTTGATTTTCTACCCATTTCTTATGTGGGTATGGGTATGGGTAAAACCGGAACTACTTTGGGTAGGGTAACGGATATGCACTATCCGCGCCCAACCCGACCCATTGCCATCCCTACTCGTTTATCCATTCATTAATTTCTCGGGTTAAAGACACATTTGGTCACTGAGATTACAGAATCGGGACATGTTTAGTCACTAGAAAAAATTAATATCAAATTTGGTCACTACAATTACTAAAACTGGACACATTTAGTCAATCGCCGTTAGTCTCCGTCCAACTCCGTTAATGAAGCCCGTTAAGTGATGATGTGGCAAACAGAAATGCCTAATCAGCCGGATATAACCCAACAAAAATAAAACCCGACCCGGCACGTCATTATAACCCGCCACGTCATTGAAACCAACCCAACCCCACCCAACCCTTCTTCCTCCTTCCTCTCACCTCCTTCTTTCCCCAAAACCACCGCCGCCACTCTCCTCCTTCCTCCTGCATTTTCACATCGGATCTCAGATTCCATCCAATCAGCTTGAGTGATTACCTCCACGCCGCCGCCTCCATCGTCGAGCATGACGGCGGAACAATCGTCAAAAGGCAGTGGAATTTCTGCATCCCGAAAATCAACGCCTCGCACATAACCGCCCCCAACCGTTGGAAGACTTCCGAAGAAAGAAATGAAGCGCACTGTTCAGGCTCCAACACCGCCGGGCATCCCCAAACGGGACACGCGATGCCTGACGACGATACATTGTCCTGCAATTTCACAGCGACGTAATTGGCGAGGCAATCTCTGCAGAAAGCGTGAGAGCAGCCCTTTATGGTGAAAGCCTCGTTTGGGATTCTGGGTTCCTTACAGATTCGGCAGAGGAGTTGTTTTGGGTCGGGTTGGCGGTGGTACGGGTCGGGGTATGGATTCGGAGACTTGCCCTTTTCGGTGGGAGAGTTACGGAGCAGCTTTCGAGCAGAAGAAGACGAAGAGCTTGAACTCGGTATCTGGGTTCTTTTATGGCCTGAGATGTGTGGTTTGCGGGAGGTCGGATCTCAGCCCCTATTCAATCCAAAGAACAATATCCAGTTTCCAATCCTTTCCCTTCATTTCTGCCCACTGGTTCCGATTCTCTCTTGTGAGTTGTGTCTAATCAAGGAGAAAGTATGGCTAGCGCAGTTGCTGCTGTTGGGATGATCGGAGGGGGCGGGTACGGCGGATCTTCATCGACCTCGTGGTTCCGGAGCCGGAGAAAGGCGAGGAATAGTACCGTCGTCGGAAGGAATCAAACTCGTCGCGGATGTTCTGTGTCGCCTCATCTTCCTATTCGGTGATGGATCCTTACAAGACGTTGAGGATCCGCCTCGTCTTCACTCTCTGTTGGTTCATTCGTGAGATCTGGTCGCAGATTCAGTCTTCTAATCTCCGATCTTATGATGGTTGTTTTTGTCTACAACAGTATCATCCAGATGTGTGCAGAGGAAGGAGGAGAGTGGCGGCGGTGGTTTTGGGGAAAGAAGGAGGTGAGAGGAAGGAGGAAGAAGGGTTGGGTGGGGTTGGGTCATGGGTTGGATTGGGTTGGTTTTAATGACGTGGCGGGTTATAATAACGTGGCGGGTCGGGTTTTATTTTTGTTGGGTTATATCCGCCTGATTAGACATACCTGTTTGCCACATCATCACTTAACGGACTTCATTAACGGAGTTGGACGGAGACTAACGGCGAGTGACTAAATGTGTCCAGTTTTAGTAATTGTAGTGACCAAATTTGATATTAATTTTTTCTAGTGACTAAACATATCTCGATTTTGTAATCTCAGTGACCAAATGTGTCTTTAACCCTTAATTTCTCATTTGTTAACAAATTATGATAGTTGTTTATTGATTAGTAGTAGATATAATGAACAGATTTTAGGGGTTGGATTTGAGAAAGATTTTATCTTTGTTAATTTCGTGATTTGTGGGATATGCAGGGCAGGTGCATATTTGTCAACTTCCCGCCATTTCTTTATTCACGACTCATAATTTCCAAACCGGCGTCTTCTTCCTACAAAACAAAATCCCTATCACTCTCCACACTCCAACTCCCAAAGTCATCTTCTCCAATCTTCTCTCAAAATGGCTACCGCCGACGACCCGACCGGAAACCTCCACGTCGCCATCCTCCCGTTCATGGCCCACGGCCACATGATCCCGATCATCGACATCGCCAAGCTGTTCGCCTCCCGCCGGGGAGTCAAAACCACCATCATCACTACCCGCCTCAACGCCCCTTTGGTCTCCAAACAAATCCCGACCACCGCGGAAATCCACATCGAGCTCATCAGATTCCCGGCGGCGGAGGCCGGCGTGCCGGAGGAATCAGAGACCGCCGATTTCTTCTCCTCCACCGCCCAGAAAATGGGTCCGAACTTCCTCTTCAAGTTCTTCCACGCTGCAGCGTTACTCCGGCGACCGCTGGACGCCGCCCTGGCGAAGATCCGGCCGGACTGCCTCGTCTCCGACGCGTTCTTCCCCTGGAGCGCGGAATCCGCGGGGAAATTAGGCATCCCGAGGTTGGTCTTCCATGGCACCGGGTACTTCGCTCTCTGTACCGCCGTTTGCATCCGGGTTCACAAGCCACACAAGAATTCGGATTCGGAGTCCTTCGTTGTTCCTTGTCTGCCGGGGAAAATCGAGCTCACCCCGAGCCAGTTGCCGGAGAGTGCGAGGAAGGAGGAGGAAGGGAATCCGTTTACGGAGCTGGTCAGGGAAATGGCTGAATCGGAGGGGAAGAGCTACGGGGTGATCGTGAATAGCTTCCGCGAGCTTGAACCCAACTACGCCGATTTCTACCGCGACGAATTGGGGAGAAGAAATTGGGCAATCGGCCCTGTTTCGCTCTCCAATCGGAGATCCGAGGAGAAAGCGGGCAGAGGAGGCAGGGGAACAGGGGAATCGAGCTCCGATTGCTTGAAATGGCTGGAATCCAAGGAGCCCGATTCCGTGATCTACATTTGTTTCGGGAGTTTGGCCGATTTCGCCGATTCCCAGCTGAAAGAGATCGCAGCAGCGCTGGAGAGCTGGGGCGGGAGCTTCATCTGGGTCGTGAGGAAAGATCCAAGAACAGAGTCTGAATCTGAATCTGAAGAAGAATGGCTGCCGGTGGGATTCGAGGACAGAACGGCGGAGAAAGGGCTGATAATTAGAGGGTGGGCACCTCAAATTTTGATTCTGGAGCACGAGGCGGTGGGCGGATTCGTGACGCACTGCGGGTGGAATTCGACGCTGGAAGGGATAACAGTGGGGAAGGCGATGGTGACCTGGCCGGTGGCGGCGGAGCAATTCTACAACGAGAAGCTGGTGACGGCGGTGTTGGGGATCGGTTTACCGGTCGAGGCGGAGAAGTGGGTGAGAGGGACTGGTGATGATGAAGTGATCATGGCGGAAGGGATTGAGATTGCTGTGAGGAGGTTGATGGATGGAGATGAAGGGAAAGAGATGAGGAGGAAGGCTAAGGAGCTTAGGGAAATGGCGAGAATGGCGATTGAAGAAGGTGGATCTTCGCATTCTAGTTTGAGTGATCTAATCGATGAATTGAAACAACGATCTCATGTGTAAAAATGTTGGTTTTAGTTCATCATATGATTGTTTTCGTAGAGAGCAATGTTGTCAGAATCGAATTAGAGTATGAGCTGTAACAGCGAGCAGGTCGGGTTGTATCCACCCCTAACTGGGAAATAGTAGACAAGGATTAACGCAACAAAGATAACGAAAGAATTGAGTATTTACAGGGTACCTGCGTCTGATCTTCTTGGTACATTAAAGAGCTAACAAATCATCTTCTCCCCAGCCATCAGAGCACAAACTTAAAACACCACCCACGAAACCAGTTCCGAGATCATACAACAAACCACTAAATGTACAGACCACCATTACAGTACTCTTAAATCTTCCCAGGAGTAGTACACTTGTCTTTCACAAATGCAGCTGTCGACACTTGGTCGAATCAATCTCAGTAGGACAGTACGGGCACTTGAAGCTCTTGGCGTTGTTCTTCGACATCTTATTCACCGACTGCTTGCACAGCACGTGTCCACACGACATCAACATTGGCGGGTTCTCATCACTCGACTGCTCCTTCGACACTGGACACACAAACACCGAGTGGAACTGAAATGCTCCATCCAGCTCCACAGGGACTGGCAGCTGCTTCATGGTCTGCCACTCCTGCTGCTTCTTCCCTGCAATCACCGTCATGAACTTCAGCAGCGGTGGCAGACTCTGGAACCCTGCTGATACTGTCACGCCCAACGGGCTCTCGGCTGATGAGGATTGGCCCATGAGACTGCAGAACTGACGCGTCACTTCCTCGGCGACTGAGCTCCAGTTCTCTGGGGATAGTAGCTCTGCATAAGGAGATCGGTCTAGCTTTCCTGACCAGAGAAGACATGCCATGATCTTCTGGAGCTCCGCAAAATGATTGCCAGCAAATGGAGCGATGTTGGTCCTTGCATAATTGAGAGCTTCCTTTCTGCTGCCAGTTTGAAGTATCTCCACAAACTGTAGTCGGTGGAGCTTGAGTTGAAGGTCCGACCCGTTTTCTCTGAGCTTCACCGAGTTGGCAGCAACCCAGGATAATGCGGGCCCCAGGTTCCGGTTTTTGACAGCCTCGAGAATTGTGTACATTTCTGAGAAGAGAGTTCTTGCTGCAAGAGCACAGTCGGGCTCCTTGCTGGCCTCTGATATGAAGCAATCGCCAATTTCAAACATACCTTGCCGGTAGAAATGGCTGGCGATGATCTGGTTAAGGGAATGGATGTCGAACTCGATGTTTCGGTAAGCTTTGGAAATGTCTGGGTTGAAAGCTTTCTCGAGTTGCTTTGGGTACTTGCTCAAGGCTATGTTCAGTTCCTTCTGTGTGGATTCGAGCTGGCTGAGGGGAGCAACTTCCTTCAGCTTTTTCTTCAGTTCAATCAGGAGAGTATTGCAGTCTGATGGACCGCTGATGGTTTCTGATTTCATGTTTGCTAATGTCGTTTCGATTTCTTGCATGATCAGGTCGATCACTTCTTGAGCTTTGGAACTGGACAGCTTCTGTTTCTTTGTGACACGGTCGAATGCATCCTTGATAGGGTTCAGATCCATTTTCTTTTACTTATCTACCACTGTAAGTTTGAGCTCAATGGCAAATCCTGCACCAAAGGCAAGGTATATAGTTAAAGTTAATGATGCCTGAATAAGTCTTATCTGAATCTATGCAGGAAGCATCAATTCATTCTTGCTACCTATATGATCAGAGTCCTGGGATGATATGGACTTCATTTCCACACAGCACAGAACCAAACAGATACAAGGCATCTCTATCACAGACTTGATAATAATAGAAACTGACAACTTGAAATTAGAGACGAACTATCTAGCACATATAGTCTGAGGTTTGAGTTTTTAACTGCAAACGACCTCATTCACAATTGCAAGGAAGAAGATAGAATAAACATAACAAATCATGCATGAAAGGCGTGACAGTAAGGAAAGCAATTAACATGCCACGAGAAGCCACAAAATGACTGAATATTACTGAGGAGAAACAATTAGCTAGAAAGAAAACAACTTGTGATTAGGGTAAAGAAAACCATAGTTAGAACTTGTTTTGCAAAAAGAGCTACATACAAGTCAGGGTAAAATTTCACTCCTATGAGATCCTTTCCACAACAGTTTGCAAAGAACTTCAAACACTATGACTTTCGTCACATGACATGATCGAAGGCAGCTTGCTTCAGTAATGGTAATCAATGAAAAAGAGGGAATTATGAGAATGAAATAAGCAACAACTTCGCAGAACAATTAAATGAAAGCAGTAGGCAAAATCCAGCACTGTCGCAAAAATTATCCCAGAATAAGAAAATCTTAACAAACTTCAATACTTCAAATTTTAAAGAACTTGATTTCGGTTGTGTGCAAAAAAGTGTTCTTCTACAACTTGCAAATCAGAAATACAACATAAGGGAGCTTTCATGTTGTTGTTCGTTTCACTGAATGAAAGAAAAAGTGAGCACATTTCGTTGAGCCGTTATCTTCTAAAATCAACAGTAGTACTTCAAACTCGGATTATGGGAAAGTTTCTGAATTTCCATTTCCAAATACCACTAGCCAAAGCAAACAAGTAGCAGCATTCATGACGACATAGAAACATCCAAACAATTTCAAGTTGGCTTGCAACGAGCACATCCAATTCTACCCAAAGACTTGACAAATCCAAATGCAGACACTCTCAACTGTTCAGTAACAATGACATATTGCCTTAGCACAGTTGAATCCGCAATTAAAATACCCATGACTCTACAACTAAAGGTAAAATAACAAACTACACATCCATCTTGAGAGCTTCTGCGCTGGCGATACTAGTGCTTGTTAGTTGCTCACCGTCAAAAACCAATCAAGCAGAAATTATGAATAAAATAGTATACATATCATAGCATCATCCATTGTTGTCGGCAGTATTGAAGTCAACATGCAAAACCCAAACAAATTTCCACTATCAAGAGATCGAACTCCTACCCCTGCACCTCAAAGTCAAGCATCAGCAGAAGTTACAGTTCTAAGTTCCATGCCAGCGCTAAACAGGAAATGAAAGAAAACCAAGAACAGAAAAGTAAACGAACCCAACTTGAAGATGGGCGAAGAGAAAAGAACAAAGAAACACTTGAAAGAAAACCTCAACGAGTCCTTCGATTGATGAATCATCCGTCGAATTAATAAACCCTCCTGCTCAATTGATCTAACCAATCGAGCAAAGCCAAACTCATAAATCAATAACAGAGCTCCAATCCAAAAACCGATGAATAAAGCGCAAGATTCAGGCGCTTCGCAACCGATCTAGATTCAAGGAGGATCCGACGAAAAAGAAGAGGAAAAGAGGAAATGAATAGCCTCGCGATACCATCGCTGTAGAAGAAGGAAGAAAATTACCAGATGATTTACTGGGAAAAGCTTCGGGAGATGGACGATGCGGCAGAAGCTTCGAGAAGGAATCACAGGCAGCTCTGTATTTGTTGGCGGCGGCGGCGAAAGGGGGACGGTGGAGGAGAAGGAAGGAGACGGGGGAGTAGAGGAAGAAGAAGAGATTTGGTGGTGAATTCTTCTTTCTTCTATCTTTTGCTAAAACCATTTCCGGGAATTTTATATTATTTTTTTTAAGTTTTTAATCTTTTTTTTTTCTGTTCTAATCCGATTTCGTGTTTCTTTACACAGAAGGACGGCACGAATCACGTGCGGATGGTTTTACCGCGTTGGGCCGAAATTGGATCTTTGTGCTAGGCCGACATTAACGGGCCTGGGCCGAAGCCCAACCACGAGAGGTGAACAAAATGTAGGAAAGAAACAGAAAACGGGAAGCAAACGTTGGGTTCGATCGAGGAAGGGAAGACGCCGCCAATCCACGATTGCCGCCGCGCCACCGCGGGATCAGGCTCAGAGTAGGGCTGGCAACCGGTCGGTTTCGGTTTAATCGAAAATCGAAAACCCGGTTATCGGTTAAATCGAGACCCCCCATTAAGCTGCCGACCACCGACCGAAGAAAGGTCACGGTTAGCCGGTCAACCGACCGAGCGGTTCCGGTTTTGGCTCGGTTAGCCGGCCAATCGAAAAAATCACATTTTCCACAAAAAAATAATAATAAAACAAAACAAAAAAATCACCACCACTCCTTCCTTATCTCCTTCCTCCACCAGACTCTTCTCTCTCCTTCTTCTTCTCTCACCTTCTTTCTCCATTGAAACAAATCTGCTCATCTGCAGGGGAAGACAGGCCTGCGCCGAGCAAGGGAGGAGGCGGCTGGCGCAGGGGAGGCGGCGGTGGCCCTGGACGAGACCACCCTCTCCGCGGTCTCCATCTCGTCGAACGAGACCTCGTCGTCGCTCAGGTCGTCGTCCGCGTTCGGATCTGGGTCGGCTTGTGGGGCGACCAGATCTTCCGCGGTGGAGGAGGCGGCGCCGTCCGCCATCTTCGTCTTCTTCTTGATTGATTCTCAATATTCACAGATCTTCCGCGGCGGCGATGGCGGACTGGAGGCGCGGCGGCGATGGCGGACTGGAGGAGCGGCGGCGATGGCGGACTGGAGGCGCGGCGGGGTGGGTCTGAGGGAGGAGGATGGAGATGGAATGAAAGATGGTCTGAGGGAGGCGATTGGAGAGGGTCTTGGATGCTAGGGTTTTTGCGTTTCAGCTTGCCTAAAACGCGGTCGTACTGTCGGTCGGTTAGAGCTGGTTAGCCGGTTAACCGGCGTCGGTTAATCGGCTAACCGCCTAACCACAGACAGCCTCCGCCAACCAACCGAGCCTTATTATTTTCGGTTTTCGGTTAGCCGCTTACCGGCGGTTAACGGTTAGACCGGTCGGTTAGCCGCTAACCGGCAACCGAATTGACAGCCCTAGCTCAGAGTAAGGATAGCCGGGAAAGAGAGAGATTCGACCAGCACTGTTTCCTTGTTTCTACTGAGGAGGTTCCTTTTGATTTTGCAGGGAGAAGGGTGAGTTCGATTGCCTATCAGGTGTTCGGAGAAATTACTCTGTGAGAAATTTTCGATGGCAATGGTATCTGCAGCAGCGGCAAATGAAAATGGGAATGAATCAAAAGGTGGATTGAAGGAGAAAACTCTGCAGATATTCGAGGACTTCTTGACGAGGTTAATTATATCGACTTCCACCATTTTTTCCCTTGGTTGGAGTGTCTTGGTAGTTTCTGAATTGGCTGGTGGCGTTTGATTTCAGGGTCGCAAAGCTTGAGGAGCTTGGTGCCGTTGCAAATAGATATCTCAGTGGGTTTCAGCAATCCCTTGGTGGGTTCCCTTTTTTTGGGGCGCCGCTTTTCTTACCTTCTCTGATTCGGTTATGCTAGTATCTAAAGCTGGTTGCTTTGTTGATTTTCCCCTTGTTTGTTTGTTAAGCACAGACTTTCTTCGGCGACCTCCCATAGACATGGAGTCGAAATTGATGAGCAAGCGGCTCAAGATAGGATGCATAACCATGGGTTATGCACCCATCAATAACCAAATCTGGACCCTTCATTTAGAAAATCCAGATCTAAGGATGGAGAATTAAAGGCTATTTTTATTTTCACTAGCTTTCTTAATTGACTCATATCTTTTTCGTTTTAACTCGGATTTTAATTTTTTTTGCACAGATGGAACGAGTTCACCGTGCTCTACAAAATGAGATCAATTTTCAATATTTTTTTAGGGAAAAAAATTCTGGCCTCTCGGTACCAACTGCATACCATATGGTATCTTCTTCGTTTTTAATTCGTTTTTGAAAACGTTTGCACAGCAGGGATGAGTTCATCATGATCTACTGGATGTACATATTTCTGGGTGAACAAATTACAGGACAAAAAAATACCACACAATACCATACAATACCACCCTGGTACGGGGTGGTATTGTATGGTATCTTCTTCGTTTTTAATTCGTTTTTGAAAACGTTTGCACAGAAGGGACGAGTTCATCATGATCTATTGGATCTACAAATTTCTGGGTGAACAAATTACAGGACCAAAAAATACCACATAATACCATACAATACCACCCCGGTACGGGGTGGTATTGTGTGGTATACAATGTTAAAAGTCGTAAATTACAATTAATATACTTCTACTATCATGTATTCAACCATCCTACAGTATTGGTTTGTTCATACCACCATGGTACGTTTTTCAAAACATAGGTATGCTTTTATTTCAATACCAGTCAATACCATATGGTATAGGCTGGTAAAAAATGGCTCAATTTTTTTTGTTCGAAAAATATATTAAAGTGGATATTATTTTGAAGAGCACAATTAATCTGATCTAACTGTGCAAAAAAAATTAAATTTCGACTTAAAATGAGCGAGAAATCGTCCGTCAAAGATTAAAGAGGGAAAAATTAAAGGCTTTCCATGAGAGAGAGGATGCTGATGTCATGCTGATGTGAACGGGTTACTCATGGTTACTCACCATAAGGTTACTGACCTGATCCATTCCCTGAGCAAGCTCATAAGTGCTAATGACACGAAGAGGATGAAATCATACATCCAAGCCGGCTGCTGCAACACTCTTGACAGAGTGCAGAATACAAGCAAGTGTAAGCAAAGGCAGTTCACCTATAGGTTCCTTGTTCCGTCACTATTCTTATGATTCGTTTCCTTATTGAGACGGATTGTTATTTCGTTTCCTATAGGGATGACAATGGGTCGCGTTGGGTCGAGTTTTGTCAATCCGAAACCCATGGGTTTATCAGTGAAAAAAACTCTTATGTGCAAAGTTGGTAACCTTTTCTTTTACAAATGGTGATGGTTGTGACAATCTAACTTGTTCTGTTCACCCCGCTTATTGGGTACACTTTTGGTGCGCTTACCCTATGCTCTAATTATGGTTGCTGTTACGTTCTTGCATCTCATGGATTAGTTCACTCTAGATATGCACTTAGATTTTAAGTAGGCCCACGTATAGCCATGTAAATATGGCTTATATTAACTGCCTGATGACAGCAATTTGCTTATATAGCCTGTTAAAAGCCATTCAGCTTTGAAGTTAAATACACTATTCTCTCCCGTGATGGTATTTATGTGTCAACTGTGGCATATGAAATGAGCTCCTACACTGTGGAATATTTATATCTTACTAGTTTAGCTTCTTCATTTTCTTGTTTTGGGAGCAGAAGCAGTTGAAAAATGGCGCAATGAGAAGCTACTAGAAGTCAAGCAGTCAATTAATCTTAATAGAGGAGGGAATTCAACTTTTGTTCAGGAAGAAGCTGGTATCTCGCTCTCCTTGCAAGGCTATTGTTTGTTCCAAGTGAAAAACAAAAACCAAACAATTAGCTGCATGAAGTCTATAGGATACATGGGAATTGTTCTTTGTTCTAGGGTCATTTTGCTTACTCACTTACCTGCATGTTCTGTAGGATTGCTGGTAAAAGCCCTGGAATCCGATTGGGCAGTGCTCTCGGAGAACATAGGCCTTTGGATTACTGCTGAAGTCACTAATCCAGAGCATGATGATAGACCAGAGGGTCAAGAGGAGCAAGGAAAACCAGTCACACACAGTTTGGTGTAATGTCTTGTCTCTTTTTCACCACAACAAGGCTTATCTTCAAAGTGGGTGATTGAAAGTGACGAAATAAGCACCTTGTCTCAAGTGGGTAATTTCTGATTTGTGCCCTTAAAAACTTTATCTTTACCCTTAAGTCAACAACAAGAACACTCTTAGCACTATCTTTGAGGTGAGCAGCTGCAAAGCCACCATCAAGCTTTGAGGTCAATTTGGACATCAACTCAAGATTGAGACTTTTTCCCTTCCCCCACATTCCATGGTGCTTGCACTTCCTCCCTTTCTTTCTTTCTTCTTTATAGCCAAGTTAAGCATCAGTTTCCCCACCAAAGTTTTAGCTTTTTTGTGTATTGTCTAATTCCTTTCTCTGAATCAAAATGGGTGTGTTCTATCAGGAAGAGCCACCCCCACAAAACCCATCAAAGAAATGCAAGTTCCTCCTGGTTTCAACTCTCAAAGATGCCTTCTCCATCTGTCGATCTTGCGGCGGCCACATAAGCTCTCTCCAGCAGCAGCAGGATGAGGATTATGTTCCCAACACGACAACTGAGCTCGAAGATCTTGATGAACACGAAGTACTTTCCACTTCTTCAAACCGTTCCAATTTTCCTGTACGGACATACAAAAAACAACACGCATGAGTTTGTTTTTGTCTTTATGAAAATAACTATATTGTTTCTTCTTTCAGGTTGTCGTGTCAGCAATCAGGAGCAGAGCCATGGAGAAGTTGAAGCAGAAGGTGTTTGTGATCACAGATAGCTTTTCAGGGGAACTGCTCTTTAGTCCTGAGAAGCAGAAGGATGGAGAAGTTGAAAAGGATGAAGATTTCTTCTCTGTTGGGAGCTGTCTTTCGTGTTGTTCGAGCGGGTTGAGCAAGGGGGGCGAAGAGTTCTTCACGGTGAAGACAAACTTGTTGTCGAGGTGTTCGAGCTTGAGTCGGGTGGAGTTCCCAAGTTTTCACAGGCGGGTTTCGATATTGCAGGAGCTCTGCCACTGCCAAGGGTGGCCATTCGGTCTCTGCAGGAAGGCTGTTTTGCTCCCACCTCTGCCTAAGTCTCCCTCTGATTCCTGGCTATGGCGGAAAGGCACTAGATCAGCCAGGTTGCCTTAGAGTTCTTGCAACTTGCAACAAAGACGAGAACCTTTGGAAGAGTTTGAGAATAAGATAGACTGTTGCGGAAGGATGCAAAGTTTATTGTTCTGCCATATTGTCATGTCTATTCCCACGTATCAGATTCTAGATTGAAAATCAAAAGTTCAGTCCTATTCCATCAAGAAATTCATTGTACAAACATCAATATTCTATGAGATAGTTTTCGATGATCTGCTAAGGAAACAACCAGGATTATTATACACCAACACAAGGAAAAAAAAAGTTGCCGGCCTTATTTGCTTGAAGAAACCTTTGCTTCCAGTGAAATACAGCTAAATGGAACTGAAATGACGTAAACAACATTACATCAATGCAAATTTTGAAATAGCTAAGCTTTTATTGAACTACAATCGAACTCCACTTTAAAAGGTTTCCAAGATCAGCAACTTGATAGAAACCATCGACAAACACAGATTCCAAGCTAGAAAAACTTTCGCAACTAAGCCAAATCGGATCACAGATTCCGGGACTTTAAGCTCTTTGTTCAACATAAGATCCAGCAAGTCCAGAAGTACCAATCAGGGTCACCTGCAAAAACAGGACCAAGTGATTTAGGCTTGCTTTCAAAATATGCATAAAAGTACAGCCAAGTACAGTTCAAGAGGCACAACTGAAAAGATAAAAGCTAGTAAGCCCTGGGATTCAAAACAGTAACCATCATTAAAATGTTAAAGCCATGACGAGCTAATCTCGCTAAAAAGAAGATGATACCAATATGCAAATGCATGAAGCATTTTGAGGCAAAACAGATGGAAAGAAAACATCCCTAGAAACCCATGAAAGCAAAAGGTGCTAGATTGAGGGAGCAATAATCTAAATCGTAAATTTCAGTTAATTAGCGTTCAGTAAAATTGAGCAAGTAATAATACCTTGCCCCACTCTGATCCGAGGCCAGCACATCTCATCTTCAAAAATATCATCTTTGAACCCAATTCCATCTCTACTTTCTTTCTCAGATAGGCCTCATCAGGTCCAAATGACTCCAAATACGCAGAGTATCGTTCAAAAAACATGCGGATTGCCTTTGCGTAATCATCTGTTAGCGGTTTTACATCCTGTGCCACACATTTTTACAAAGTATTATTAACCTTCAAGAACCATTTGACGAATACAAAATATAGAACTAAGAATTTCAAATGAAAAACCATGAGCATACCTCGCCGCTCATCCCAATGCTGTCATCTAGCTCCATCTTTAGAGACATGACCATCCCACTGAATTCTTCGACAGCTTCAGATGACCGGAAAATATTCTTCAATATCTCTTGACCGGATTTGTCATCAGTGTTCTTCGATAGAGCATTCTTCACATCATGGATGACTGTCGCATCAAGTTCATCCCAACTTGCAGCCATCAAGTCCTTGAAAGCACATAAGACATCAGGGTCCTTAATCTCGGGCAAGTGTGCCACATCCTCACTATAAGATCTTTTGCTACCAATATTGATTGCCAAAGGAGACCGAGAACCTAACAACAAGCATGACCAAGAAAAGACCACGTTAAAAGAGGCATGAACTATCATTACCAAGGTAAGCATCAACTTCACACAGACAGTCGTTTGTGGATAAAATCAATCATTGGATCCATCTAATTCACATAAGCCTTGATGAATTTCACATCGATGACAATTGCGGGTACAATTCTACAGCTAGACAATTTACAAAAAAAAAAAAATTATACAGCTAGACACAGGAACCAAAGAAAATTCCTCTCACACATACCCGGCAATGTTCAGATAAAGGCAACAACTTCATTTTCCTATTACCTCAGATTCATTCAACCCAGTTCACCAAATTCGCTCACAAATCGACCCAGAATTTCAAAAGACCCCAAACCAGGTTATAGATAATAACTCCAAGCGTGATGACGAAATTGATAACCAAATAACTACTCAGAGCGCCCAAACCCATAACCGGAAGTATGGTTCAAAAAGAGGCATTACCGGAAGCGATGCGATCCGCAGAAGCGGTGGCGGAAGAGAGAGTGAACAGGGATCGAGGAGCTGACTGATGGTGAAGGAGCTGGTTGCCGGCAACAGCTGCGAAGCCTATCGAAGATCTACGAGAAGCTGCACGATATAGAGACCTGAGAGCCACCATCTTCCCCATCTTCGAAACTTTGCCCTTTTCTGTTCTTGAAAGCAGCAGTTCGGGTCAGCTGGGTATGTCTGTATTCCAGAAAGAAACACTTCAAACAAAACCTCAACGAGTCCTTCGATTGATGAATCATCCGTCGAATTAATAAACCCTCCTGCTCAATTGATCTAACCAATCGAGCAAAGCCAAACTCATAAATCAATAACAGAGCTCCAATCCAAAAAACGATGAATACAGCGCAAGATTCAGGCGCTTCACAACCGATCTAGATTCAAGGAGGATCCGACAAAAAAGAAGAGGAAAAGAGGAAACGAATAGCCTCGCGATACCATCGCTGTAGAAGAACGAAGAAAATTACCAGATGATTTACTGGGAAAAGCTTCGGGAGATGGACGATGCGGCAGAAGCTTCGAGAAGGAATCGCAGGCAGCTCTGTATTTGTTGGCGACGGCGGCGGCGGCGAAAGGGGGACGGTGGAGGAGATGGAAGGAGACGATGGAGTAGAGGAAGAAGAAGAGATTTGGTGGTGAATTCTTCTTTCTTCTATCTTTTGCTAAAACCACTTCCGGGAATTTTATATTTTTTTCTTTTAAGTTTTTAATCTTTTCTGTTCTAATCCGATTTCGTGTTTCTTTACACAGAAGGACGGCACGAATCACGTGCGGATGGTTTTTACCGCGTTGGGCCAAAATTGGATCTTTGAGCTAGGCCGACATTAACGGGCCTGGGCCGAAGCCCAACCACGAGAGGGGAACAAAATGTAGGAAAGAAACAGAAAACGGGTCCTTCCGTATGACCAAAAAAAAACGGGAAGCAAACGTTGGGTTCGATCGAGGAAGGGAAGACGCCGCCAATCCACCATTGCCGCCGCGCCACCGCGGGATCGGCCTCAGAGTAAGGATAGCCGGGAAAGAGAGAGATTCGACCAGCACTGTTTCTACTGAGGAGGTTCCTTTTGATTTTGCAGGGGAGAAGGGTGAGTTCGATTGCCTATCAGGTGTTCGGAGAAATTACTCTGTGATAAATTTCAATGGCAATGGTAACTGCAGCCGCGGCAAATGAAAACGGGAAAGAATCAAAAGGTGGATTGAAGGAGAAACTTCAGCAGATATTCGAGGACTTCTTGACGAGGTTAATTATATCGACTTCCACCATTTTTTTCCCTTGGTTGGAGTGTCTTGGTAGTTTCTGAATTGGCTGGTGGCGTTTGATTTCAGGGTCGCAAAGCTTGAGGAGCTTGGTGCCGTTGCAAATAGATATCTCAGTGGGTTTCAGCAATCCCTTGGTGGGTTCCCTTTTTTTGGGGCGCCGCTTTTCGTACCTTCTCTGATTTGGCTATGCTAGTGTCTAAAGCTGGTTGCTTTGTTACTTTTCCCCTTGTTTGTTAAGCACAGAATTTATTCGGCGGCCTCCCATAGACATGGAATCGAAATTGATGAGCAAGCTCATAAGTGCTAATGACACGAAGAGGATGAAATCATACATCCAAGCCGGCTGCTGCAACACTCTTGACAGAGTGCAGAATACGAGCAAGTGTAAGCAAAGGCGGTTCACCTATAGGTTCCTTGTTCCGTCACTATTCTTATGATTCGTTTCCTTATTGAGACGGATTGTTATTTTGTTCTTCTTTCCAACTATTTGGGCGCAGAAGTAAGGACTTGTCATCTGGGATTGCTTGAGCATCTAAGCAAAGGTAGTTTGCTCTTTACACATTGCTTGCTTTGAGTGTATTCCACGCTTTGGTACCTCAGTTTTGCACGTTTTTTGCTCTTGACTTGACTTTTTCGCACTGGTTTTAAGTTTGATCCCCCTTGTAAATCTTTCCAAAAAGTTGTATGCTTTTAGCTTCTACATGACTACATCTTAAGTGTACCAATCTTGGTTTTTGGAAACTGGCAGTCTTTTTGCATAAAAAAATATGTTGCAAGGGTTGAGAACTGAATGCGTTATTAGCTATTACTGCATTATTTCGTCTGTAGCAATCGTGGTGTTAATTCATGTCTCAATTCGTTCGAATCGTCAAGCATTGATCATCATTATCTGTTTACTTTACTTCCTTGTTTTATTGAAGAAATCTCTTATCTAAACTATGTAAGATGGCTGTTACAGCCAAAATCATACTGAATGAGGTTGAGGATCTCATGGAGGATCTGACGCTTGCAATTCAAAGTTATAATCGCTCATTACCACCTTTGCAAATTGAAGATCTTTGTGACCAACTGGACGAACAGCATTTACATCAGGTGGGAAGAAATTTTGCTTCATTAAGTAAAAACCGCGCTTTTTTCAATGTTTCACGTACGGTAGATGCATTCAGGCACTTCTTTCTTCATTTAACATCACATTGCATCTGTTCAAGTCCTGCTGTTTCGTGGCTCAAAGATATCTTCATTCTTCCCTAACAGGAGGAGCCATCACTAAGTGACCTGCAACAGCGTGAAGTAATGTTCATTGCTTCGTCGGTTGGGGTCATATACAGCATGCTGAAGCAGGATTATGTGATGCAGGTTTTAAGCTCACTCCGGCAGCCTTGTGACGATTTCCTTACTCCGACCATAGAGTTGTTGTCATTTTGTCATTTCCAAACTGAACTTAATGGATGATTCTTGTGCAGGAAAAGATTGTTGGATCGTTAAATCTCAACTCAACCCCAGGGGAATTAGAGAGCTACTGTCTGATGTGGTCACTCCGACCTTACGTAAACGACGAAATCATGCTTCAAGCCTGGAGACTGATCCGCTAGACTTGTTGCTGAGTATGCTGAAGTCCTCAGAACTGTTTGAAACTCGTCATGACACTACAAGTAGCGTGTTCTCTTTGTTAGCTCGCCTATGTTGACTTGTCCATCATCAAGCACTTAACTTTATGTGTACGGAAATAGACATTTCTGGTTTGTTTCTTCGTGGCTGTCAAATTTTTAGTCAATTATTGAATGGAAAAGCGATATGGCGTTAAAAATGCACCAGTTATTGAAGGGCATCGAAATGTTACCACAGGGTAATTTTCATGCCAAAAGATGGATGGTGGAGAGGGAGGAAGGGTAGAAATTCAGGGAATGGTGATTTCAAGGTTAACATATATTAACCACCAAAATTTTGGTTGCGAAAAGTGGCGCGTCCGTATAAACTCGTACCAAATGGTTCCTCATGTTTGCAGCACAATCTAACAGAGGCATGAATGATTCTTTTCCCCTCCCGCCCTCTGATTCGAAGTAAAAACAAAAAAGGTTATTAGACGTTGCTAAAGATGATGGCAAGGAATAGCGTCGGTTATAAGTTCGTCATTGTTGTCGTGCTTTTGGCAACCGTGATGCATATTCTGCTTTTTGGAGCTCAGAATGCATTCGCTAATAGAATAATTTCAAGAAATTCCCATTTCCGGGGCGATGGTATGTTGTTAATAAAAGTTATTTGAAAATACCAAAATTTCATTGTCGAATTGAATTGAATCGAATTTTAATAATATATTTTAGAAACCTTAATGCATTCATATCTATATATATATGGACAGATGAAGAAATGACTGCTAAGGGAAACCCTTCTGGCAGAGAAGGACATGGCTAAAATGAAGAGGATGCAATGTATTCTTCTCCTCACCATGCCTGTAAATGATGTTTGGAGGAAATGACTTCGAGAGTCATGATGATGTTGCAGAGGAACGTAATGCTGGTGTGGGTTTTCTTCATCAGTTTGATTGTATAGATTGTTTTTTTTTTTTAAATATTGTTGTTAGAATTTCAAGTTGTTGAAAACATTCCTCAATTTTGGATACCGATTATCAATCCCATCTCTGCTTCTCCGGAGAGCTTCTAACCTGCACTGTTAGAAACAAAAATTCTAACGGGTTTCTAGATCAGATCTACAGATTGAGAATTTAGGATTTATAGAACAGAATTGGGGATTTAGGGATTTGACAAGAGAATTTGGTGAAGAACCGAAGAGAATCGGTCTAAGCCTTTAGAGGGATTGAGGTCAAGAATTGAAAGGATGGGGAGAGGGAGGGATTAAGGAGATAATTCTTTTATTAACTTCTGCTTAATATGACAAATGACCCAAAGTACATATATATAGGGAAATACTAGAAAACCCTAATGATAAACCTAATTCTATTAAATGACTATTAACCTTATTGATAATTACCCTAATAATAATTATATTAATAAATCGAGAAACCCTACAAAAATCGGTTTCTAACATCTCCTCCCTCTTCAGACCAACCTTGTCCTCAAGGTTGACCGGCTTGACCAACTCTGCCACGTTCTCCGTGTAATCCGCATCCTTCCTGCGCTTTCTTTTCTTCCAATTTTGCTCCACCTTTTCACAAACCATCGAGCTTAATCCAAACAAGAGGTCCAACCAGAAAGCCCATTTTTTTTTGCCATAGATAGATCGTAATAGATAGGGTATTACCGTATGCGCATACCAAGGAGTGATCGATGTCGAACCCAACGAAGCCAGTGCTTCCACCCACTCCCCGCCTCGTCGCACCGTCGAAACGGACGAGAATTCCACCAAGGGGGCACGCTGGGACTGTTGTTGGTTCCCTTCTTTGCCGCCCTCCAATAGGTTGATCCCTCGACGCAGCAGATGCTTCTTTCCACTCCTCAATCTGTCGATTATACTGTCTAAATAAAGGGTCGGGCAGGTACTGAATTTTGTCATAAATCGACCAACAGCAGCCCTTCCATATGCGCCAGGTGATGAACACAACTCCCGCAATTTCCATCTTCGATAGCTGCATAGAAAAGAAAAGCTCATGCCACGCAAGGTCACTAGGCACACTAGACATCACTTCCCGGATCTGCTCCTTTCCAGCAAGAGTCCAGATAGCTCGAGCGACCCTACAATCAAAAAAACAGTGTGAGATGGATTCTGCCCTTTCTGAGCAAATCAAGCAAATATCAGAATCACATATGTGCTTCCCTTTAAGAATGGCTTGCATTGGGAGGAAGCCTCTTACAATCCTCCAAAGAAAAAACTTGAGCTTAGGAGGTATTGGGAGGCTCCATAGTGTCTTCCAAAATCTTGTAGTGAGGTACGGGGGAAGTTGATCAAACTGAAGATGTCTGCTGGCTGCTTACAGTTGATATCCTGATTTGACAGTGTATTGCCCCGAATCCGAGTAGTGCCAGATGAGTCTGTCAGGCTGAGGTACTGATGGCAGCGGTATTGAGAGTATCCATGATACACTCTCAGGTGTGAAAAGTGCACGGATGAGGTCACCATTCCAAGTCCTCGTAATTGGATGTATAAGAGCAGACACATAGGGGTTAGGAAGAGATATACCCGGCAGTAGGATTGGAGTAGAGGGCGGTGTTGAAGGCAACCAGAAGTCCTCGATAGTGCGAATTGCTGATCCGCAACCTACTTGCCATCTCAGCCCTTGCTTGAGGAGGTTACGCCCTTCCAGGACACCTTGCCAAGCCCAAGAAGGCCGGGAACCAGCTGTTGCAGTGAGGAAGTCGCAGTGCGGGTGGTAGCGAGCTTTGTAAATCCTTGCAAGGAGAGAATCCGGACACATCAGCAGCTTCCAAGCTCTGTTTCCCAAGCATCGCTATGTTGAAAAGATCAAAATCCCTAAACCCAAGACCTCCATGGAATTTGCTGACACATACTGCCGGCCATGAGATCCAGTGCATTCCCCTCTCCTTATCTTGCCCCGCCCACCAAAATCTAGCCAACTGGCTATTAAGTCTGCGGCAGGAAGAGGAAGGGAGTCGGAATGAAAACATAGTGTACATCGGCAGTGCAGAACCAACAGCCTTGAGAAGTACTTCTTTTCCCGCTAGAGATAGGGATTTGGATCGCCAACTTTAAATGCGGGCAGCAAGATTATCCTCAACAAACTTGAATGTCTAGACCTTTGATCTCTGAATTTGAGCCGGAAGCCCCAAGTACTTGTCAAGTGGGCCTATGGACGAGATACCCAGCATAGCTGCCAACTGATTCTTCTCCTGTTCACTAACATTAGAGCTGAAGCATACTGAAGATTTCTGGAGGTTTATGCGCTGCCCACTAGCTTCCTCAAAGGGCTGTAGCATCTGAATCAGGTTAGCACATTCCGAGGAGGTTGCCCGCAAGAAGAGGTAGGTATCATCTGCGAAGAATAGATGGGAAATAGTTGGGGCAAGTCGGTGGACCTTCAGCCCATGCAACTGCTGTAGCCCAAGCGCATTCTGAAGAAGCATTGAAAAAGCCTCCGTGTAGATGGCGAAAAGGAGTGGGGATAACGGATCACCCTGTCGAATACCCCGTTGCGATTTAAAATACCCATGCTCATGTCCATTAAGAAGAACCGTGAACGAAACTGTAGCGACACAAGCTTTAATCCACTTCATCCACTGTGAGCCGAAACCTAGTGCTTCCATTACTGCAAATAGAAAGCCCCATTCGACCCGGTCGTACGCTTTTTCCATGTCCAATTTGAGAGCCATCCATTTATCCTTTCCCGCGGACTTCGTCTTTAAGAATTGCATCACTTCCTGCGCAATAAGGATGTTGTCGGAAATATCCCTTCCCTTGATAAAACCATTCTGAGAATCAGATATAACGCCAGGAAGAACAACACTGAGCCTAGTCGTGAGGACCTTGGAAACTATCTTGTAGAAGACCTGAGACAAGCTGATCGGCCTCATTTGCTTCATCAACTCAGCATTAACGACCTTGGGGATTAGAGTGATAATCGTGTGGTTGAAGTACTGAAGTAAGCGCCCAGATCTGAAGAAGGACAGGGCTGCCCTGCAAACTGATTCGCCAATAATATCCCAATAGGTTTGGAAGAAAGCACCTGTAAGCCCATCCGAACCCGGGGCTTGCCCGGGGCCTATGCTGAAGGCTGCAGCTCGAATCTCATCCCGAGTGACAGGGGCAGCCAGGAAACAGTTCTGTGCATGATCAATCTTTGGCTGAATTCCCAATGCAGTAACCAAAAGGCTCGGCAGGATCCCATTAGACGTAAACAGCTGTTGGAAGAAGCCCACCGAAATACTACCTTTACCCTCCTCATCAAAATGCCGGTTCCCAAATTCATCTTGCAAAACCTCAATACGATTATGCCTTCGTCGTTGAGTAGTTGATAGATGAAAGTGATTCATGTTGGCATCTCCAAGTTGCAGCCAAGTGTTTCTTGACTTCTGCTTCCAATACGCTTCCTCTTGCAAATAGGCCGTCGATAGTTGTGATTCCAGGCCCTGGATAACCTCCCAGTTCACTGTTGGTTCATCCCTCTCGGGCTCTATAGCAGACCTTAACTCCCTGATTTGCAGGGCATAATTAGTAGTACCCATCCTTGCCCATTCCACAAGACGGTGTTTGACTGCCTTGAAGCGCGAAAACAGCTGGAATTGAGGGGTTCCTGGTACAGATACCTGCCATTCACCAAAGAAAATTTCCCGGGCATCAGAGTTAGGACACCATCTACGGTCATAATGGAACCGCGCCTTTCCTTTCCCAGCACCAGGAATTAGTTGCAGCAAAATGATCCTATGATCCGAACCAAGGTCCGAAAGGTGTGTAACCTGCATAGAAGGCCAAAGAGACATGAGATTATCAGTGACCAACACTCTGTCCAATCTCTCTAAAATGTGGGTTAGAAGGCCTTGTCGATTAGACCATGTAAACGGAGGCCCTTTAAATCCCACATCAAACAAACCTGCACCATCGAGAAAGGAACGAAATACTTCCATCACCTGGAATGAGGGTGGTCGGCCGCCCATCTTCTCATTGGATTGGAGGATACAATTAAAGTCACCTATGACCACTATTGGCAGCACACAAGACGAAAGTAAATCAGCAAGTTCATTAAATTGATGGAGGCGGATATGTACATCACTGCTAAGATGGACAAAGAAGACTGCTAATAAACCCCAAATTACATGCTGAAGTTCCACAAACAGGTAGAACTCAGCCTGGGCTACTACCCGACATTGAACACTAGAAGAGCAAGCTACTACTAATCCTCCTACTGTACCAACAGGGGAGACACAGTGGACAAACGGAAACCCAAGGCGCAATAGTTATGTACATACTCATCCTCATTCTTGGTTTCACTAAGGAAAACAGCAGAAGGTGAGAACCTATATACAGCTCCGAACAGAGAAGGAATCGTCAAGGGTGAGCCAAGTCCCCGACAATTCCAAGCGAGTAGACTCATGGCGCCGGGTGGGACCAGTTCGGGCTGGTTGCCTCCACCACATCACACTCCTCATTTTCGACTGCTGTATTCATAGGCTCACAGCGAGCTTTCTTCGCTATTCCAGCACTTGCAGGGTCGGCCAGCAGCTCCCTCTGCCTGATCAACGATGATACAGGTTGTGCCATCAAGCCCCTCTCCGAGGAAGGTACAATGTCCAGAGCAGGAACGCTCCCAGAAGGCGGGAGATGTCCAAACTTCCCATTCGCAGCCAAATCCATCCGCCCTTGACGATCCATGAGCAGCACCGTCTCCTTTTGAGCAGGTGAGCGCCCCTGTGACGAAGAATCTGCAACCTCCTGGCGAATCCAAGTGTATTGCTTCCTGGTGAGCAGAGAACGTTCATTGACTTTGGGGCATGATTTTGTTGCGATCAGATGCTTGCCGTAAGGGGTCACCGAGCCAAGAAGCTCCTCGCGGCGAGGACAGTGTTGTCCAACATGGCCTAAAATACCACATAGATAGCAGAATTGGGGGAGCCTTTTGAAGGTGATCGTCGCCGAGAACGGCCCTATCCCTCCCTTGTCGTGAGCAGCAGGGACCGAGGTCGGTAATGGCAATCGACCATCCAGCCAAACCTTCGCACGGAGGTAGAGTTCGCTGGAGCCCGAGATGCGGTGAACCGCAGCCGCCTCACTCTTCCCCAAAGCCAAGCCCAGGAGAGAAGCCATCCTCCGAGTGCAACATTGGGGAGGAATATTCCAGAATTGCAGGTCGAGGGGGACTTTCCAGAGTTGGTCGGCAACCGTCGGAGTAACCTCCACCCATGGGGCCAGGTTGACCAAGAACTTGGGTAGGAACCAAGGAGACTGCTTCAACACAGCATCCATATCATTCTCCGACGGGAATACGAACTGGAAGAGACCTTCCGCAACCGGGAGGACAGAGATGGCTCCGCGGCACCCCCATAACCGCCCCATCGTTGTTTGAAGATGGCGAATCGGAGGAGCAAAGCCAATCACCCGCCCCAGCAGAGAGAGGTCATTGCATTCGACACCAGCAACGACATCAGCATCCCCGAAGACCACTGCATTCACACCAGCCATGACTGAGGATCGGGAATGAAGAAGCAGGATATTAACCCGAAATTGGAATCGATTGAGTAAGGATAATCGAATTAGCGATGGAGAACGCTTCACCCACCATGGTGGCTTTATAACCCCCATCGTTCCACAGCCCGATACCGCCGGGACACGATGGTGTAATGCCAGTTACGGCGAGGCGCACGTTGGCGACGGTTCCTCTCCCACTCTCCACGAAAGAGAGAAAGGGGGGTTTTTTTTTTTTGCGTGCCCTGGTAACTTTATTTTCAGAAAGCCCATTTTGGCCTTTTTTTTTTTTTTGCAGACACAACCCATTTATTTCTTGAAGCTCTTCTAATACTTTCTGGTTCGACCCATGGCCTAACTCTCTTTCGACCCACTTCTTTTTCAGCTCTGGCCCACTCTTCTTGCCGCCATCAGCACACTTGGCCCAATTCCATAGATCTGCCTTCAGCCCATGTACAGGTCTTCTTCCAGCCTCACTCTCTGGGCCCAATTGAGTTTGGGCATGTTGTGTTGAGCAGACCATGGAAAATGACCTATGGATGGCAAGAGAGATAGCGACGCCACCGCCCTCCTCTCTCTGCTCATTCGTCGACTTCCCCGCCGGCGAGCGACTCTTCTTGCTAGCAGCTCACCTCGCTTCCGGCCTCACCTCCTCGTCGGTGGAGGCCTCCCTCATCAACTTCCTTGTTTCGCCACCCGCCATCGTCGTCTCCTTCTCCAGCGACAAGTCTTCCATCCGGTTGCTAGGAGTCCCGGCAACGGAATGTAGAGAACCCATCAGTGTCTGCTTCCCGCCCTCGTTGCTCGTCTCGACGTTGTCATCCGCCGCGGCGCTTATCGGAGACGGCTGCTCGTCGGGTCCGCCAACACCTATGGGCGGCTGCTGCCTCGCCGTAGCGTCATTACCGCCGTCCTTCGCGTCTGCTTTCCTACGACGCAACGCGTATGACTGGACTCCACGATCTGCCATAATCGTTCCTGCTTTTGAGCCCACATCAGCTCCGATATATCGGTTGAACTCATTTGGATTTGATCTGGTAGGAAGCTGTCCCTGAAAGAGTTTTGATGAACTCGTCTTCCGGAATCGGGCTCTGATACCAGATGTTAGAAACAGAGTTTCTAACCGGTTTCTAGATTAGATCTAGAGATTGAGAATTTAGGGTTTATAGAACAGAATTGGGGATTTAGGGATTTGAGAAGAAAATTTGGGGAAGAACAGAAGAGAATCTGCCTAAGCCTTTAGAAGGATTGAGGTCAAAAATTGAGAGGATGAGGAGAGCGATTAAGGAGATTATTCTTTTATTAATTTATGCTTAATATGACAAACCTAATTCTATTAAATGACTACTGACCTTACTAATAATTACCCTAATAATAATTATATTAATAAATCGAGAAACCCTACAGAAATCGATTTCTAAAATGAAGAACCCTTTCTGTCCAAAAACAAAATCTAGAATGCCATATGATAGAGAACTAAATGAAGCTTAATGGGGCAAATTTCATACAACTTGAGTCTGAAAATCGTGACAGACGATAAGGTTACAAGCATGGATTCATACATAACCTGTTACACTTCCAGATTCTCATATGAAGAATAATATATACTCTCTATAATACAAAACCATGGCATATGCTTGAACTGTCTACCAAGGCAAATCCTATGCTACTCATATCCCATTTCTTTCACCCCTATTCATTATAACTACAGCTTGAATTCTCACAACATTCTCCATGATTGTTGCTTGTCGTCATAGATTCCAAGTCGACCTTGGACTTTCGCGTTTCATCTGCAGAGCGGCTCTGACCACAGTTCCCCGCGTAAGGAGCCCAACCTTTCGATATTGAAACAGAGACGTGTCACGAGACTCACGACAAAAGAATCGAATGAACGAAAAGGAAAAACTGTGTAAGAAAAAGCCATGAATGCACGTTACAAGTCTTACCAGCTTTCCGTCACCATCAACCACTGGCAGCCGTCGGTACTTGGTTTCTAGTAGCAGCCTGAGAGTTTTGGGGGAAAGTAGAATACAGTGTTTCAAAAGATGCTTCTGGTATGTACTCATATCCAAAGAACAATGCAACATAAAGCCAAATTTTCATGGCAGCAAGACAGAGTCGCGCAGAGTAAAACAGTGAAAGTTATACCTGACCGCGTCCTCCAGATTGGTGTTTTCACGGACGGTCAGGGGATTAGGTGTCATGAGATCTCCAACAACTTTACCGTTTGTCTTCCCTAGTAGTTTCTGAATCTCATTAAATGCCTGCATTTGTCATTGGGGATTAGGCTGCCAATGGCAATGCTAAAAAGGAGGAGGGAAATCAATTCTGCAAAAGGAAGCTTTGGAGTTCTTAAAAGATCAAGCAACGTGCGTGGATTCCGCAATGCATCCCAGTGAAATCTTCAGAATACAATGCCAAGTGTGCAGGAAACCAATTCTAGACATTCGATTCACAAAACTTAGCATACTGGCATTTAGCGAGGAAGTCAAACTAATGGGCACACAAAGTATTGAATGTCCATTCTACCAGCACATGAACTTCAAAAGTAAGAACTCCCAGCATACCAAACATCATATAGGAATGATCATACATACTTTCCAAGTACTGTCGACGTCAGGAAATAAGTTGTTGTCACTTTGATTGCAACCTACCAGTAAAATAGGCAAAATTAGCACCTGCTTCGACAATAAATTCTGCAGAGAAACAGTAATAAAAGGACTAGTTTGTCAATGGAGATCAACAATGCATAATTGACAAGCACAGCATGTTAGTATTCTTTTGCAGAGAGAATGGTTTGCAAATTCTATTTCAAATGTATCATTACAGGAATACTCAAACGTTTACAGTTTTACCAGGTTCAGAAAGGAAAATTTTCATTGCCAGAAGGTACAGTAAAGCAATACCATGTTTTGATACACAAACTACCTACATAAAGGTAAGAAGGTAAGAGAACTACGAAAAATAACATAAGGATAGCAAGAATAAGCACAAAGCTTTAGAGTTTCGAATCACTTCCACGTGCGTAAATCTCAACCCTGGTCCATCGTGCTAATGTGATCTATAATGCTGGTAAACATCAACAGGATTTCAAACCTCGAAAAGGGAACTTTAGCTTCAAGATTAGTAGTACCTGATATAGAGTCGAGTGCTAACAAGTCATAATCTGAAACTACACCAACCTGCAACAGGGAATAACATGAAATCAGCCATTGAAGAAACAAATATTAGCGAAGACACATACGGTATGAACAGCTAAAACCAGCAAGTTAGCTGTAACAACAATAAATTGCACACTTTTGGAAACGTTAGAGTTATTAGCCTGTTGTATCTACAAGGAACCACAAGCGTAAAGGGTTGATGGAAACATCCAATATACCCTACTAGCAAAAACAAAAAAAAATCTGAAACTGAAAGAATCAGTTTCACCATTATAACTTTGTTTGGCGATCTGACTGTCAACTAGTTGCCTCAAGCCTCAGCAACAGACAACAATTGATTACTTTCTTTCAAACCCTCCCCAGTGATGAAATCTGGTACCATGAATCTTAAGACTGCAACTGTTTGGTTAACTAGCTCAGCATAGCTGCCTTAGCCTTTCAACTCGCAAAGTTCTTGAAGGAATGATGCCACAATCGATCAATGGAAACACTCAGGACTCTCAGATTACACAATCTTAAACACAAACTGGAGTAATGAGCTTATCTAAATGCAGGAATGCTAGCCTTTCTAAGCTAAATTAACAAAACATTTCAAAACAAATGAACACAGACATTTAAACAGCATGAGTTAGTAAACAAAGTAGTACCAAATTCCAGTGATCGTCAATCACAGGGAACCCTGTAATCCTCTTCTCCACGATAACCTCCAATGCTGCAAAAATCATCAGAAGTGAGAAAAAGTCGACAAAACAAGCAAAAAAGGAAAAGGAAAGGAAATCTAGAAATCCACTTGGTTCTTACCTTGATCAACACCTGTAGAAGGCTTCACAACAAGCAGATCCTCCTTCCTCGTCATGAAATCTCCTACTTTATACGTCCCATTTCTCGCCTACGAACCCACGAAATCCATCATAAAAAACATACCCAAATAGCTTCTAACAAAACTACGACATGGCCAGGGACCAGAAAGGCAAAATTGCATAAGAGAAGAGAGTCAAGTTAGTTAATGAATCGCTGAACAGAAACCCACCGGGGCAGAGTTGGTAAGAGAAGCCACGGCGAGGCCAGAGTGCTGCTGCCGACGGGAGAAGGTCAGACGGCGGCGCCCTGCCACCTGAGAAGCAAGGGCAGGCGGAGGCCGGAGACATGAGGAGTGGAGAGTAAAGAGAGTCGGAGGCTTCGCTAACGAAGTGTATGAAGAAGGAGAAGCCATGCAGTCCGGGTCTCGGAAGAATTTGATCCAAAAGCCAGATGGGGAAATTATTAAGAAACCCCAAATTGAGCTCTGCGAAAGATAACCAAAAAAAAGGGGATTTCTTTAATGGCTTAAATCCTACTGGGCATATAAAGATAGAAGGAATCTTGGGAAAGGAGTGAGATACGCAGCAGAAGATGGCAGAAGAACCCTCCTGAGATTAAAAAAAGAAAGGGTTTTTTAAACGATTAAATCAATGGGAAGAGAAAATGGGCGGCGTGGAAGGAAGGAGAAGGAAAGTCAAGAGGGAATACGTGAAGGAAAAGGCGAGGAAGGTTATAACAAGGAAGAAAAGGTCCAGTTGGTCGGTAGAGGAGCAATTCAAGACAGCGTTCAACGTGTGCGTAGTTGGCCATTTCACCCATTTTTAGGTGGCGCGATGCCGACGGAAATGGCTTTAACTTGGAGCTTGGTTGGACCCATGCCATGGCGGCCGCAGCAGCAGCTAGACAGCATCTGGGTCTCGCTGCTGGCTACTTTTGGTTCATTGGTTGTGTGGCTGTCAACACTCAACCATGATTCTTGAGGTGTTTTTTTTTTTTTTTTTACGGTAACCTATGTGTGAAGCTATTATTAAACGGGTAATGAATTTACATCATCCAACCGAAATTGGTCAATCACAATCAGAGGCGGTCTGTCAATATTGAAAATCCCAATAGGCTTCCCCTTCTTTTTCTATGATCTAAATGGATTCATGTTCTTGAATCTTGATAAAACATAGTGTATATAAGGAGGCTTTGATTATGCTAGTAACGACTCGCAACGTTTCAATGAGGGCTTTGAATTCGACGAAATAGATTGTTTCTCAAGTGACCATGGCGCTAGTATTGAAAAATGCAAAGACAAGGATCTTGTTAAGTTGACAAGACATCGACTTTTATAAAATTATCAAGTACCCACCACGTTGCGATTATAAGAAGAAGAAGAAAGATTACGTCTTTCGAAACTCGACCGGTCCATCGATCGGTCACCTCACCCAGGATGTTGACCTCCATTCCCAGCAACGACACAACTTGGCCTGTGATTCGTTTTAGTTTCATCGTGTGTTACAACTTACAAGCTACAACAATTGATTGCCATTTTCTGAATCTTTGATTGAGAAAAGGATCCAGATCTTGCCTCGATGCCAGGTGTGTTGGGCGAAACCTGAAACGATGGAGAACTTCTTTTGGGAGTGTCCAATCGCTACAGCCCTCTGTACTCATTCGAGATTGGAGCATTTGGGGCACGGGTTGCCGCGCCATTCATTTCTATTTTCCTTAAAAAGTATTTGATTAGGATGACCCAGCCGACGCAGATTATGGCTCTGGGGGCGCTCCTGTGGCGTATTTGGAAATCTAGAAACTAGGTTGCCTTTAAGGGCAAGCAGTTTTTGATTCCTCGACTAATGCGCCAATACCATCAGAACTCCATGAATGGGTGTCCTTACCGGAGGATAGGGTGATATGAGATCAGTTTCCTTTGCAGCAGAATCTGGAGGTGGTAGATTCGACCTCTGTCATCTGTATGTGGGATGGTGCAGTACGTGGGCTTATCTTAAAGGTTGGTTAGTGGTCTTAGCAAGAGGAATGGTACTTGAAAACATTGTTGACCCTCTTATGGTGGAGTCTATTGTCCTTCGTGAAGCTATTCGGTGGTGTCAGGATCTGGGGATTGTCAAGTTCGGTTTAAAGGTGATGCGAAGATGCTCATTAATAAGATTAATGCCAAGGATGCTCAAGACAGTCGTGTTGGGGCTATTGTCCTATAGATTTTGCGTATGATGGCTCTGAATAGTGGTTTTCATGTTCGATTGGTGGGTCGCATTAGCAATAGGGTATCCCATTCAGTGGCTATGGAGGTCCGTTCATTGCCTCCGACTTCATGTAAATTGTATGATTTTCGTGTCTGGATTGGGTCCAGGATGTAATTCATGATCTTTTTATCAATCAATATGATTACCTTTTGTTAAAAAAATATAACGATCTACGGTTCCCAATAGTAAGCAAAAGCTCGTTTCCTTTATCATTAGATGAAAAATTAATCCAAAAGTGTAGGCACTTGAAACTTACATTTGAGAGCACACTACCATTAGTCTATTACGGAATCATAGCTTTGGCTTTGCCTCGTAAGGATTTTCCCTAGATTAAGATACATATGTCATATGTTGCACACAGACAAGGCAAATGTTTGAGATCATGTCACATCTGTCGATGTTCGTTCCTTTCATTTTCCATTATTTGTGCCATCTTGGTCCGACCTCTATGGTTGCCTACTTCGATGCATCTGTGTGAATATCTTGATAATAACATCATTCAAGTAAGCGTAACTCAAGATAAACTATTTTTAGAACCGGTAAACAAAACAATTTACCAAATGTTATATTTAATCAATCACGATTAGTCGATTACAACTTCAACATAGGTGAGTAATTCATTTAACACTTCAACTTAGTTTTTGTGATGAAATAGATTTCACTACCAATAACTAAAAGAAAGTAAAATGTATTATTTGTGAACAAATCAATTAATTTAGTGGGTGTAAGCATACTGTTTGAGTCTAACTGAGAGTAGGAGGTAGACTCGTGAGAAAGGAGGGTGAGAAGAGTAAACAATAGAAAGGTTTGGGACACCAGAGCTTTTTAGAGAGAGAAAGTTCGTAGTAGTAGAGTGAGAGAGTGAAAAATGTGATCCCCTCACCCACCGGAGTAAATGCCATATTTATAGGCTACATGGTGGTGGGTGAGTGGTTGGATTACATGATGGTACAACGACATGACCACTGACATGTCAGGGATTTAGGCCATGCCTCTACCTAGGATATGTCAGAGGTTTACCTATGACTGTACCTAGGCCCTTGATGTGACTACCTCTCGGGAAGCACGATGACGCTTTCTGCGGCTCTTTGGTCTGGTCCGCGCTTTGATCTCTCTACGCGCGCGTAGCCTGTAACGCGCTTGAGGTCTTTGCGCTGAGCCGCGCCGGTGTCTTCACGCTGTGTCGCGCGAGAGGTCTTCGGACGTGGCGCAACTAGGCGGGTCCGGCAGCAACTGGGGTAGTGTCGGTGCGTTTCTCTGGTGCGGCTTGGTCCGAGTCACATGCCCAACAATTGCCCCCATCAGGGGGTGTTCCGCGAATACCTCCTGTTGATTTCCGCCTGATTGACTCGGACCCGCGTGATTTCCGTGGGATAGACCTTCCGGGTTCGTTACTGATCATGCTGACTTTCCGCCTGGATGGAGTCATGCTGATCGCGCGGCTTTCATGGGATTCGTCACGGTTGTTGCGTTGATAGCACGGTTTTGTGGGATTGGCTCTGGCCCGCGCGATCTTCGTGGGATTTTTTCTGCTGGTGCGCCTGTGGGTGTTCCGCGAACGGCGCCTGTCTGTTCTTCCGCGCGATTCTCGGTTGGCTGCGCGTGACGCTTTTGTTTGGGGTTGGATTTTGGGGGCGCTTTTTTCTTACTCGTGGGTGTGCCATGCCCCCCAGGCGTTGCGCAGCGCTGGTGACGTCAACGGTTATTGCCTATGCCTGTTATGATTGCCTGGGATCTAGGTCTGCCACATGTCGTTGTGTGATTGTCCGGTTTTGGCGGCCGTTTTGAATTTCGAAAAGGTTCTGACGGTTACGACTCCCGAGCCACTTTAACCTTTCGGCTTCCCATCATCAACTATAAATACAACCTACTCTCGGGGGGTTGCCACTCATTCTGCATTCGTACGATTTACTCCCCACTTCTAACTCCTCTGATCTCTGAGATTCCTCTCCTTCTTCTACAACCTCAATTCTCCCTTTTGCTGTTGCTAACCTGAAAATCATTGCCATGGATAGCACCAACATCAACGAGACCGAGGTCGTGCAGGGCGAAGAAGGTAATCTCTCTTCTTTTTCACCTATTTCTTCCGACCGTTCACTGGATTTGGCCGGTTCCGGCCACGGTGACGGTGGCGGGGCAGATGGCGGTGAGGGGGTTCCGGCGACGCCGTCATTCGACAATGATTCCGAAAGGGATTGGGCTGGTTCTCCGGACGCGCATGTGGTTGTGTCAGGGAGTGGTCAATCGGGCGCGAGAGCTCGTGGGGTGTTGATTATCCGTCGCGATCGTGATGGAAGACCTGAGGCCACGAATTCGGGGACGCGTGAGGGGTCTGACAGGCAGTCGGAGCCGCTCTATCAAGTACGCACGTCCGAGGCAATTAGCCGCCTGGGATTCCAGGGTGTGGGCGCGGCCTACACCGTCATAGATTGGGCGGAAATGTGGGGAGATCAGCCGGCGCCTCATGACAACCTTCTGCGCGGGCCTGACCATGCCTCCATCTACAGTCGCCAAGACGTGGAGGAAATTGTGCGCGGGTTAGGGTTGCCCCCCAGCTGGGAGTACGCCGTTCCGTCTGTGCGGAGTATGGTCGGGAACTGCCCCCCGGGCTGGTTTGGCGTCTACACGGAGTATTGGGTGATGGGGTTCAAATTTCCCATTAACCCATTGTTGTGCGCGCTTTATAGGCGCCTCAACTGCTCGGTTGGGCGGCTGTCTCCCTCCATCATTATGCACGCTAGCTGCCTCCGACTTGCGTGCAAGAGGCTCAAAATCGAGCCCACCTACGGGCTGTTCCTCAAGTTCTACAAGATTAAGGAGCCCACTAAGACGAGCGACTGTCTCTCGATCAAGCGGCGTGACAATAGGCCCGAGGGCTTTGTGTACGGATCGCCAAAGTTGAAGAAGACGTGGTTCGAGCGCTTCTTCTACGTGAAGCCCACTCCCGGGGAATGGGCGAGTGAATTTGTTGAGGAGCCAACTGTGTGGAAAAAAGGCGGCACGAACTCATATGAATCGGAGTTGGGCAAGTACGCCGGGCTCGATGAAGAGTACGAGGCGTGCATGCTGCAGAAGTTCAACCTTTACGAGGCTGGGGTCCGCGAGGCCTGTTTGGCGGAACTGTTTGCCGATGGTTAGTTGTGCTTCTTTCGTTTTGTATTCTTTCTTATTAACCGCTCTCTTACTATTTATTGGCGCAAGTGTTGATTTTTCCAGCCTGGCCAGTATGATGTCAGTCGATGATGTCTTAAAGGCACCTCGCGCTGGGAGGAAGAAGAAGAAGGATGGTGATAGACCGTCATTTACACATGTTTTTACCCTCATACTTACACCGTTTGAGGTGTTGATTCTCGTGTTTTAGGCCGATTTCACGCTAGGTTGTGCTTGTTTGTGTTATTTCAGGTCCTAGTACGTGAATGAAGGCTTAGGAGCGAGTCTGGGGTCGATTGGACGAAGAACGGACGAAGGGCGAGCTTTTGGAGGAGTGCACGGGCAGACCAGGAGGCTGCACGGCCGTGCACATTAGCCATTTGGCCGTGCGCCTCACGCCGAGGCCGTGCACGGGCACATTCCAGGCTTGCACGGCCGTGCGCCTGGCCGTGCAAGGAGGCTGAGCTTGAATAAATGAAACGGCGCGTTTTGAGAGTTGCACGGCCAGAATGGGGTGGTGCACGGCCGTGCACCTGCCCGTGCACCTG